TAACCAGCTTACTCACCAGTTTACTGTCCAGTTTACCAACCAGCTCCGTCTTTGGTTTCACTTCGGAGACGCTGCTGGAGGCTGGTGTTCACTCTGTTTCACAGCGTTTTAAAGGCAGATGAACAGGTCTATACGTGATTATTACTGCAGTGAATGTTTCTGCGATAAGATCAGACTCTGTTCTTCCTTAGAGGTAGATTTCTGTCACCATCACTGGTCCTGGTCACAGCTACCACCACTCAGTCGTTGTCAGGGCGTGAGCGATGATTGACGACTGAATAAAAGCACTGACGAGCAGCTGCTTGTTTGTTCTTACAGGTGTGTCTGTGTGCTGTGTTGCAGCAGGTGAGGCTGAGGACTCGGTCAGCGTGCAGCGGTGTCGGCAGGCTGCAGACGAGCTGCGGTTGGCGGCCAGTCGAGCCGTCCACCTTTACCTGCAGGTTGGACGCCGACGGATCCTCTCCTGTCGCTTCATGTCGACTTTCCTCACAACTGCATCCTCTAAATGTTTAGATTTGTTCTTGTTACCAGACGTCTCTCTGATGTGCAGACGCTACAACTTACCAAGATAATTGCCTAACATGTTCCCCAGCACGTCTCTAAAACATTTCTTCAGTCACAGTTTGTCGGTTGTGCTGAGGCGTTTGTGTGTCTGTCCTGCAGCTCCGGGACGTCCAGCAGCATTCGGCGTCGGCCTCCATCCTGCAGGACGCCTTCCAGGCTGTTTGCTCCGAGCTGCAGGAGGCGCAGCAGCAGGCAGAGGAGGCGAGCGGCGCCCCCTGATGGTCAGCTGGAGGACGACGCAGCTCTAACATCATTTCACTGATGCTCCTCCAGAGTCCAGCAGAGGCTAACGCAGTGGGACATGACCAGAACACACATCTGCTCTGCTGCTGACGAGCTTCATATGTTCAGCTGTGTGTCACAGAAAAGACTCACCTGTGACTGTCGGAGCTCCTCCTCCATCCTCCAGGTGACTGTAGGACCTGAGACGTCCTTCATGATGACGGACTTCAGGGTCACAGCTGGGTCACGACCCCTCACAGCTGGAGGAGACGAACCCAAAGACTGAGAACATCAGTATTAAAGTCAACGCACAAAGATAGTTTCTGTGTAATAAATGTTTTATGAATGTTCTGTGAGCATCAGTGTCAGATTTTGTTTCAGGAAGTGAAGTTTGGTGATGGACGCTTCTCATGGATCTGAAGCAACGCCACAGTTAGAGCAGGACTCGCACAACCCGCTGGTCAGGAACAGAGCGTTCTGACAGATGTGTTCAGAGGTAACGCAGTCGGAAATAACGGAAACATGGAGTAAAAGTATCGTAAAGTATGTCCAAGTAACGCTGAAGTACTTCAAGCTGCTGCTAAAGTATTTCAAAGGCTGTAAAGAAAAGCCACAAGTCGGTCTGACGGTCAGTCACGTGAGAAACGTTTAGATGACGTCGCAGGTAACGCTCTGGGGGCGTGGCCTGTTGGTTGTTTTGTCACGTGAAGGCAGGAAGTGCAGCGGAGTCGGACGCTCATTGGCTGAGAACCCCGGCAGCTGCGGCACGCGCTCCCAGCCTGGCCCCGCCCCCGTCACTGTGACGTAGGTGACAAACAAAAAGTTTAAAACCAACAAACAGCGAAGAAAAAACAACAACATGGCGGCTCCGGGGAGCTGCGAGGCGCTCCGGCGGCGGCCAGCGGCATGAAGCAGCGCGGCCCGCCGACGTCATGGCCGCTCTGAGCGCCGACACTGTCACGACGGACCCGGGCGGAGGGTCGGAGCGGAGCGGCCGGGTCCAGGCTCTGGGAGGCGGCGGCTGGTCCGCGGAGCCCTGGAAGGGACACATCGTCCGTCAACTGAAGCACCGAGACCGGAGGCAGCACGCCATGTTCCAGGACCTGATCCGCTGCTGTACGGACACCAAGTAGCACTTTATCCGAAGCTCCACACGGTCGGAGGACAACCAGGGTCCATTCAAAAAACGTCCAGTTTAACAGCGCTGCAGTGAATGAGTCGCTTCACCAGGAAGCTATGAAAGTACAGCTTTCACCAAAAACAAGGTTTTTCTGAATGGAGTCTGGTTCAGAGAAATCCTTCAGTTTTCATACCAGGAAAAGCAGTTTACGGCAGACAGACTCCCAGAAAAGAAGATTTGTATTGCAACCAAACTCAATTTTTAAATCTGTGAATTTAAAAGTTTATATACCAGAGACAGAAATGAGTCGTTTCAGCTCTAAAATCACAGCTTTTTAAAGGGAGGCTGGTTCAGAGAAATATTCGCTTTTCATGCGGTGAGAACACGGACTAAAAAGTTAAAATGAGAATAAGCCCAAAATAAAATGAAACTATTACAGCAGAATTGTATTTAGCTGAAATGCTTTCGAATATACCCGATTAATTGTGTTAAACAAAAGGCTTCTAATTACGTCGTTCAGATGTCAGCTAAAATCAGAAGTTTTTTGAATGGAGTCTGGTGTGTCCTAGTTTATCATCAGGAAATCACTCAGATAAAGACTGGCATCAGTAGTAGTGCAGACAGGATTGTTGAAGGTGAATATGTCTGAACCAAAGTCTATTAAGGCCGAGACTTTTTCCACCTGCTGTCATATCTGGGAAACACTGGAGTGGAGCCAAACTCCATTTAACACATCAGAAAAGATAAGATCATCCTTTATTGATCTCCGTTGGGGACATTTGGGAAAAAGCAAAGGTTTTCTGAAGAGAGTTTGGTTGAACAGGTGAACCAAACTCCATTTAACAAGTCTAACTTCAATAACTAGTCTGTAATAACAGTTCTGAGGTGAACCTGTTTCAGTTGTTAGCACTGAACGCAGCAACAGTAAATTAAGAGTTTTTTGACTAGAGTCTGGCTCAGATACTGACTAACATAAACCATCAAGTTCCTTCATTCTTTGACCACATGTTGCTTCAGTTCCTCTCAGCAGTGACTCATGTGTGACGGATGATCAGGCTGAAGGTTTATCATCTCCACAGATGGACTGAACAGTTCATTTTCCTGCACATGTTCAAGACTTTGTGCTCAGACAAACAGCAGGGTGTCGCTTTAATGTGTCAGATTTTAAATGGAGTTTGGTGGGAGGAGCCAGCGTTATTACATGACTAATATTAACATTATGTCCCTCAAAACATAATTTTTATTTCTTAGTATTGCACATTTATTTTTAATTATTTCATTTTTCTTACTGTTTTTGGATTCATTACGACTTTTCCCCAAAAGAGAATTAAATGCAAAGTGAGAATTCAAAAAGAAAGTCTTTGGACACGACATTTATTTTTCTTTAAACAATAAAAATAAATCTGAATCTTGCCAGATGTTAAATGGAGTTTGGAGGTTTTTCCTCAGAATGATTTAAGCCTGACTTTCTTGTAATAATCTATACTTTTTGTGACACGTTAATGTTTTCCTTCTTTAACTTCTTGTTCCAGAAGCTGTAATAAGTTTACCTCATCAGAACATGTGAAACCAGTTAGAACTGGGTCTTGTTCTGGAACACGCGTTACTGTCGGGTTCAAAATGAAAACGATGACATTCAAACGTTTCTGGTTTCAGATTCTCAGCTGCTGGAGAAAACCAGTCTGGCCAAAGGCCTCCTGAGCTGCTCCGTCAGGTAACTCACCTGAATGTACCTGAACTGTGACACCTGTGACAGCTGTTGATACACGGTGTGTTTGTTTCGTGTATCCAGGCGTCCCTCCGCTGGCTCCCTGACGTCTCTGCTGCAGCAGAGCAGTCGGCTGAAGAAGACGACCGGAGAGGTGAGGACACACCTGTCCTGGTGCTACCTGCCGACCTGCAACCAGAGAAACCGCCAGACTTCTGGTGTAACTGGGGTTTAACTTAAACAAACTAGTTAAACTGAGGTTCAAATTAAGCCTGTGGGTGTAACTGGGGTTAAATCTAAACCAGCTGGTTTAAGTCAGGTTAATTTAAACCTGCTAGTTACCTCAGGTTTAACTTAAACCTGCTGGTTTATTAGAGTTGGAGTTAAACCTGGTAGTACAGGTGTTCTATGTCTGTTCTTCCTCTGGCTGAAGGTCTGACTAGTTTAACCAGCAGACGTTGGTTAGTTAACTCGTTAGCACAGCTTCAGGTCCTGATTGGGATCAATGTTGATTGGAGTCACAGAAACCAGTAATCAGCTATAATCACATGCTGTCATGCTGAGATGACTCTGATCAGGATTATTGATCAGTGGAGCGAAACTCAGTGATTCACAGCAGAAGAGTGAATCTCTGCTTTATTGATTATATTATATTATATTATATTATATTATATTATATTATATTATATTACATTACATTACATTA